AAAAAGAAGTGGGCAAGAAAGGCCATACATGGATTCTATGACAGAAAAGTGAACCAATGAAATATGGAATAGTGACACCAATGGCTACAGATCCAATGGTAAGCAGAAATCCATAACCATATCCAAAAGTCATCCCAGCAATCCACATTGACGGCGTAGAAGGTATAAGAAAGGATGGAAATATTGCAAGAGAACCAAACACGATGAGCGCTAGCATTGTTGTACTGAAAGTCTCCCTCTCCCAAATTATAATGGGGATGACTTCCTGTGAAAAAAAATACGCATCACGTTCAGCTGAAAACTGACTATGAAATAATGTCGGATGAAAATGATCACGTTGGTAATATAAATCATAACAGTGGAAATGAGTGAATGATCTAGGAGGGCATTGAACTCGGCTTATATATGCGTAGAGACTGCCTGCATATCTACAGCATATCGACCCAATACTTTACTTATGAAAAGTACAGGCTAATCCTAAACGTATAGGGGGGAAAGCATATATTAAAATAACAAAATTAGGTTCCACTTCCTATTGAATCACAAGGAACAGCGGCAGAACACATAAAAAATAATCCCATTTATGCACAAATTCATGAATTTCAAGAGAAAAAAACGAGTTTGCGCAATTCAGAAAAAAACTAACCTTATCCATGAAGAAGGGCCCGACCCACTTGAAGAAAACCGCACCCAACACGGCAACAAACAGCACTACGAGCACAAGCTTCGCCCACCACCAACAAGACCACCACCAACCTCCGACACCGGCATCGGCACCACCGCCGCAGCACCCCGACGAGGACGCCTCCGCCTGACACGTGGCCACACCATCGGCACCACACTTCTCCAATTGCACGTAATCTCCCCCCGCAACAAGATCTTCTCCACCAGCTGCATTGCGGGTCATCACACACCCAAATCACAAATCCGATCTTTCTGATTATTTAATAGAACCCTCCTCCGGGAATCACCAACAAGATGATAAAATTACAAGTGCAATTATTGTTGAAGGAAAATATGCACAATAAATGGACCCCAAAGCAATACAGATTAGAGGGGTTTTCAGCCTTTTGCCGTAAAAGCTCAATATAACCGTTTTAGGAACTATTTTTCCCCTCTTATCTTATCTTCTCTTTTCAAACATCAATGGCCACACGCAGTTTAAAATGCAGCACAGGCAAGATTGAGTGAGATGAAGGAAGTAAAAGAAAATCAGAGTGCAGTACAGAGCTATTGATGAATGAAGCAATCGAATAGAGGGCTTTTACTCTTTAATTAATCAAAGACAATCCCGTATTAATTTGCAAGTTTATTGTAGTCGAAATTTGTAACTGTTAGATCAACTATCCCGACGGTTCTACAATGATCTAACGGTTACAAATTTGACCTAACCAACCATAACATTTCCTTGAAAACTAATATACATTTATAATACTAATTAATAATATTATAGTATTTTATATAATGTAATAGTTTAATATGTAATAAATGTTTGTATAAGATTCTAAATTGTATTAAATTTTGTGAAATTTTTATTATAATAGTTGATAATATATGAATTAGTTTACCTATATGTTTTAATTTGTGAATGGATATAAATGTATCAATATTTTGAGTTCTTCTCTGAAGTTTGATCCCTTCCGTGTAGCCATACGGCCCATACCGTATGGAGTTAGAAATTTACTTTACCAATTAATTTTTAAACTAGTACGGTGTACTTGAATTAAATAATTGCGTACCTTCATTTTCAAATTAATATCAATTCCAATAATGTGGTCCTACCCGGCTCGATTTCAGATTAGTCGGTTTTCATGTAGATCCAGAAACTGGAAAGTCCTTGTACCAAAAAAAATATTAATTCACATAACACATAATATAGGAGACAAATGTACGGGTTTTTATAGTGCAGCTGAATTATAACTAGTATTCGACCTGTGCATTTGCACAAATATAAATAAAGTATTGTGAGTTATTTGTATGCATATAATTATTAATAATTTTTCTTGCACCTTTTGCACGACACATTTACAATTTAAGAAGCTGGAATAGTTATTTTTTTAAATTGCGTTTTATCATATTAAATGTAGTATGTATTGTATTTTTTTGTGAATTATTTATTATTTATTTAGGAATTTCAAATACGTTTCTTATTTTTCAAAATAAGTTAATTAAAATGTAACCACAACAATAACATCTAATCACGTTAAATAGTCAATGCATTATATGGTCAACTGTAAGTAAATCAAAAGTTTAAAATAATTTTTTTTAATTTTGAAGTGATTAATGTGTTGATTATCTAATAATTAAATGAGAGGTTAAATAAATAAAAAGTAACGGTTTTTTGAGAAAAAAGTTATATTGCCACATATGTAAAATTTAATAGGTTTTATTAAATGCTCATGAGCCAACAATTATATATATATATATATATATATATTGATCTATTGACATGATTTAAGACCTATTTTATTTTTTATTTTTTATTTTTTATAATTGTATGTAAAATAAATGATTTTGTTAAAGATATTAATTTGATATAAGAAGTTTTATAATCCAATACACAAGATTACACGAGTAAGAATTAAAAGTGTGATTAGATATGAATTGAACTAGTTTTTGATTTTTTTTAGTTAATTTTAAAAAATATGGTGTGACTAATTGTTAGTGGGTGTATAAAATAATATATAAATTTCCAAAAATCCCAAATGAATGTATCCCCGTTAATTTAAGAATCAACATTGGACTATATGACAAATTGAGAATAAATATAAATCCACGTTTTGAGTTGAGAAAATGTAAAATCCGTCCGGGTCTTGAGAATGAATTTAAAAATTAAAAAATCGAGGCCTTCATTTGTAAATTGTAATACTGCCTATTAACGAGCTCCCACTAGCCTCTAGTGGTTCAGGTAGATTGTGTGGTACGTGAATCTCAACAAAATGGTTTAAGAAATAAAAAAGAAATGGCAAAACAAATAAAGTACTCTCCATAAGACGAAATAGTTATATATATTACCCAAGGTTTATGGCTAACGCTGGCTCTAAAATACAACGACTTTGATTTGTGTATAGCGATAACTAAAATACACAAATCTCCGACGAACAATACTTAAGTTTCAGAACTCTCAAGATAGAAGAAACATAAAGAACACAAGATGATTTATGAACTTTGTAAAATGACGCAAAGAACTTTTGAAAATTGATGTATTGAATAATTTTATACTTTTGGGTACTTATAGATGTAGGAAAACACCTCCAAGAGATTTAAGGTGTCTTTTTGATGTCTTGAATAATTTTATGCTTATGGGTATTTGTAGATGTAGGAAAACACCTCCGAGAGATTTAAGTGTCAATAACACCTTTTGGACGTGTCTGAATAAGATATATGCATCTAGTGGTCAAAAGACACCTAATGATCAATAACGGTCACGATCCTCCAGTGTCCGCAGTCAATTGCGTGCCCGTGCGCTGCGTGCTCGTACGAGCTCTACAGACTCGGAATGGAGTTCTGTTTTTTCCTACTTATCTCCAACGAACCCCTTTAGAGTTCTAGCATGAAAATTGCTATTTTTTTTATTTTTTTTTTCAAAAATTGTCCTAACACTCTTCAAAGACCGAATGTTTTGCGAATCTATATATATATAAAAAGAATTATCATTTTTTAAAAATGGCAAGTCAAATTGTGGTCAAAATGGTTGAGCATTAATTGCATGCTATTAATAGCAAATTTTTATTTTATTTTTTTATTTACAAATGTACATCATTAATTGTTGCATTTAAATGTGGAGTTTGTTAAGTGAAGTTTGTTATTATTTTTACTCAAGATTAGGCTGTTCCTTTTTCATTTTCACAAATTAAAAAAACAAAACTTTCTTTAACATATAATTGTGTACCACATTGCAGATTTAATTTTACTAAAAAAATAAATTACGACTAACATAATAATATAAATTTAAGTTAGTATGTACAAAAAATCAAAAACTCTTTTAACATCAACTCGGCTACTACATTTGTTTTAATCGGATGCTTTTATTTTTTGATAAAATAAATTACAGTTCATTTAATAATCAAAATATATAATATTTTTATTCTATTCTTTTTATACTTTTCATATAAAAAAATAACAAAAAACTAATCTAATTATAAAATCGTTAATATTTTATTTGTGCAAGAACGGGTTGCAACATTTACATTTTCACAAATTAGAGAATTTTTTTAACAGAAATAAGATTATCAAATTGCATATTTTTTTTATAAAAAGAAATTACGGTTGGTTTAATAATACAAAATAACTTTAGTATTTGCAAACAATTTGAAGCCTTTTGAACATCACATCGGCTAATACAATTAAATTAATGAATTCTTTATTTTTTTAAAAATACCAATTCCTAAATTGCGGTTGATTTAATTTTAAAAAAGAAATTTTTTTTGATAATAGAAAATCGTGAATCACATTGCGGCCTAGATTGGTATATTTGGTTCCATTATGTTCTAGAAATTTTGATTATTGAAAATAATTTGAAATTCAAAATTATTTCTCATATTTGATTTATTAAATTCGATTGTGTTTTTTATTTCCAAAGAATCAGATTGCCGAAAAAAATACCTTCTTGAATTGAAAATATGAAATTCAAAATCCCTTCTTGAATTAGTTGTCATAAAATTGAGCTTAAGTCAAAATCTCTTCCTAATATGAAGAATTTTGTTCAGATTGAAAAAAAATATCTAATCACATGCTTCTATCATTGGACAGATAACCTTAAATAAAGAATTTTGTGCCACTTTAAAATTAACAAACATCTTGGAAATTACAAAATCGCAATGAATTTTAAAATTTTTTGTTTCAATTTGCACGAAATTCAAAATGGTTTAAGAATTCCAAATCAATTGAAATCTTTAATTTTTTTTTCATAAGTTTCAACATTTTATAAAAATTAAGTTAAATTACAAATGTATTGTTCAAAATCAAGAGGTTAGTTTTAAAAATAGACATTTTTTTTTTTTTTCAAAATTGTCTTAATCTTCATTCAATATAAAATAAAGGTAATATGTTATGAGTTTTTAATTATTTAAACATACAAATTTTATGTTCTCTTGAACAAGTTAATTTTATATCGTTTATAAAGTGATATACCGTAAATTATATGACATGTTAACCCCACATCGCTAATTTATAATTATTATTTAATATTGTTTACATCCATTTTTATTTTTT